CCCCAAAACCCCAAAACCCCAAAACCCCAAAACCCCATTAGTTATATTATAAGTATCTTATGGTGATTGTGAAAAGATAAATATCTTTATAAAATTTCTCAACTATATTATATTATTTAAGATAAACTTTGACTACATGTAAAACTTGGGCTTCATCCTATCACTGATTTTCATGATTCAAAAAAGTGTATAATAAAACTGCGGAGACTATATATTTAACCTTGGAAATTACACCCTATCCCAATAAACAAATGTGGAGATTTATATATCAAGCAATTAAACATTTAGGAAAAATGAATCACTTTAGTTTGATTATACCGAAACTTCAATAAGTTTCAATGAAGAATAAGTAAAATGTACTTTTAGCTATAACGGATAACAAAATACTAAACTGATTCAAAATCCTCAATAAAATTAGAGACTTATTTGGTACTTTGATTTCGATAAAACTGTAAGTAGTTGTGAGGTTTTCAACTTGAAATGAGTAAATGTTTCAAATCTATAAATCCAATAAGTTATTCTAAAGAGAAGCTTAGCTCTTTCAAAATATTTTTGGGGTCTCAATTAATTAGCTTCTAGAAATAAATAATTTATCTGATACCAATCGACTCTTCTATCAAAGCATCTTTAAACTTTCTTACAACTGCAAATTAAGAGATTTCTTATGCTGACCTAATAATTGAATATAAACCTACAAGCAGTTGTGATTATTCTGCTTCAATGACAATTTAAATAGATTTTAACTATAAAACATTAACCCTTTTGACATGGAATGGCTTCTGTCTTGTATTTATTAATGGAACATTGTTCTCTTCGACATGTTCCTTCAATATTCTTTCAAAAGAAGTAATAATACGCACTAAAGGTCAGGGAATAATGTAGCCAGAAAAGAATATTACTATCATTTTGTAGTCTTTTCCAATAATAAATACAATCAATAGCTTAAATCTGACAAGAAGTCTTCCTGATGGATCAGTTTGCTCGTAAACTGTGAATACCATACCAATAACTAATAAAGATGGACTAGGCTAAAAGTATTATATTGAAACTAGATATGTGAATAATCAAACAACTATCTATTCTTATGATGATACAATGAACAAACAACTATATAAAGTTATCATTGCTCTTTTGGTATTATTGATTCTTGTAGTAATATTCCTTTTATTACTCTTTTTCAAAAAATAGTTCCAACATACTTTCTCTAAGATATGCATTAAATTAATACAAGAAACTTTAGAAAGATATAGGCTCAGAAGAAATTAAGACAATGATTAACTTTAAAATTAAGTAGATAGTTTTTAGAATCATTCAATTTCTAGAAACTTTGCTTGAAAAAATGTGCTTCTAATTTATCTTTTAAAATTTAATTATATTTATAAATTTGCCATCAATCATATCACACTCAGTGATAGGAAGCACACATTTATGCATATTTTCTGAATTTTTTTAACTATTTAGAATATTTTATTAGAATTTGGTATTTTAACAAGTCATTGAGTATTTTTATCAAAGTAAAAAGATAACAAAGACTGCCTATCAAATTTACTTTATAATGTTTCTTTTAGGGCTACTATTACTCGTAATATTTCCTCCATCATCCAAAAAGTCTCTATTAAAATAAGATTATCTTCTAATTGTAAAACTTTCAACATTATTCCATACTAGATTCAATTATTCATTCGATTTTTTTGTTGGCGAGTAGTTTATGGTCCAATACTATCCTAATATAGTTAATCTATTCTACTCTATTCTTAGTTTGCTTTATGGTAAATGCTTTTACTTCTCAAATTAGTTCTAGTTACAGCTTTCACAAAATTATTTCTTCTTGTAGTTTTCTATTTTTAATACTAATTGAATTCATTATTGAAATTTTCATCTTATAGGTTTATTTTTTCGCTTTTATACTTATCTCTGTTTAGTTAATTCAAATTATTTATTTTGGTAAGTTTACCCAGTTCTGAAATATCATCGAAATACTCATCCGTCTCTAAGATGACATCATTATGAAATCTACTATGGTAATCATTTTTATTATTATTTGTTTAAACTAAACTGTTTTTTGATGTTCTTCTTGTTGGTTCAGCGGCATTTGAAGTCTACATGATAGAAGATTTCAAATCATCCTCTTAATAATCTTATTTGCTCATTTAGTCATCATTGTTTAATGATAAGAAATCGTTCAAGATACTATTGGTTTCTCTCTTACTAATCTTGTGTTCGTTCTCTGGGGAGCCGCTAGGAATGTATACTGATTTTCTTCTAACGCTAGGAATTATTATCTAGTCATCATTATCATCATCTGTTTCTCCGTTGTTCATTTAAGATCCTTTGAGTTTTCCTAATGAAAATAGAGGCACGATCGATTGCTATCTTTTAACTCTAGGTGTAAAAATGCTTTTAAACTCTTGAGTATTTTGAATTTCTTTATTAAAAATGCGATCAAGCATTTGATTCATCTACTATTTATTGGGGTCATCTTCATTTATAAATTATTTTAATGACTCATTAGTTTTCATAAAGAACTTGTATCTTAAACCTCTCTTTACTTTAAGAATTAGAAGTACTTGCTTTACCTTTTAAATCAGTCCTAATATCATTCTCTTTAAAATTACTAAGAAGTTCATGAACATGTTAAAGATGAAAACCGCAATATATATGTACCCTATTTGATATTTAGTTACTGGATCATCTACATAGTCAGTATATATCATCATAAAATAACTCAAAAGCAATGTGCAGAGTTCATTAAAGATCTCAACACCATATCCACCAGTAAGAGGTCTTCCATATATTAAGTAAATCATGTATAATAAGTTCTAAAAGATAAATAACAAAACCTATAAGTATAGCCAATCTTATAAATAGAAGACCATCAGAGCAAATGAGCCTCTTCTCAATACAAATATTGAATGATAAAAGTAATGCGAAACGAAATTTGTCTGCAAATCCTTGTAAATTTCATTTAAAAATCTCACAAACTATATTCCATAGTGAGACTTTTACTTTTTAATAAGCAAAATTGGTACTGCCAAAAGCAAAAAAATGTTTGCTCCAAAAAATATAATAGCAAACAGAAATGAAAAAGCATCTCCTGGAGTTGAATGTTCATGGATAAAATATAACTAAAGATAAATAGCAATTGAGGATTCCAGACTTAATTCTAAGAACAATCTCAAAAAAGGACTAAAGAATAGCATTAATCTTATCTTATACATCATTTTGATAAACATTTGCCTAAGGTTGAAAATGTAAGTTATGAAATTAAATTTACTTCTTAATTTTAGTTTTAAGAGCAATGAAATAAAGTATAACGCAGCTTAAGTAGATAATAAGGAAGAAAATGGGCATCCCAATAAGATAGATAAAATTTGAGTTATCATAACCTAGGAATGCGAATCTATCATTGTACTCTGAATATTCATCAATAGCTTTCAATTTGAAAAAATTCTTCAGATCCTTTGCAACGTTGAAGATATCAAGATTTATGATACTGAACAAAGCTTGAATAAAGATAAGTACATGCCCGGGATATCCAATCGAAAATAAAGGTGTATGAGCTATTAGTTGTAAAGTATTAATCATTCCCCATAGATATTGCAGACTTATACCCAAGACAAAACTCATAGCTACACTCCCTAATATCGAGGCTTTTATTAGGCCTGCTACAAGCTGTGCCTAAGCTGTTACTATTTCATTCTCCCCTATAATATTTTAATGCTGTTATCTTACCATCTGATAATATTTGTGTAGGCAAGTTTGCCTCTTTTTGCATTAATGGCATTAGTTCACCACCAAAATATGATTGAAAGATCTGCTTCAATAAAATGACCTTTATCTGATCTTAGATTTGATAAGCTGATACAAATCTGTTATCAGTAAAAATTAACTTTATCTAAAGTTGATCATTATCAGATGATACAACCTGCCATTCTTCTAGTTTATTTTTTTCACTTATTCCATAGAATTCTATTTACAATGCCTTTTTATCGATCTTAAATTATTTCAAGTAATCTAGATTAATTTTTTCCGAGTATTTAATTGTCAGAATTTATGAAGAGCTTCCTTTAATTTGAAATTAAAAGTCAGTGCCTTTGTTTGAATCTGATGATTAACCTGAAGAAGTTGAGCTATTATTATCACTAGGGCTATTTGTATTGTTTTAAGCAGGGACTGAAACAGCAGGTTCATCTTCTGTTGGCTTTTAATCAATAGCAATAATGCTAAGTTGATATTATTAGCTCATTTAACCAACTAAGGAATTATCATCTGTAAGTATAATCTTAATAAAGTATGTACCAGTCTGCTTGGAAGAAGGTGAAATTATGATTGATTTGCCAGAAAGCTTAATGAAATCTGGAAGTTGCTTATTTGAGAATAATGAATCTATTTTTATATTAACATTGTCATTTTAATCGTCTAAAATGCTTGGAAATGAATAGCTTAGAGATTAACTTATTTGAACTTAAACAAAATCAGGAAGAATTGAAGCGAAATAAGGAGGACTATTAGTTGCTCCTAAAATAACATTTACTGTAAATTATTTGTTATAGGTGAATGTCCCAGATACTGTACCCTTTATTGTAGCAACGTAAGTTTATATGTGAGAAATTTAATCAGTGTAGAAAATAATTGTGCCCCCACCTCCTAAATTTTGGGGTTTTGAATTAAAACTAAAGATTTGGTTTGAGTAGGTATTTGGTGTAACTTCAAATTAATAAGTCCAATAAATGTCAATGCAGCTACTAGCATATGTAAAATCATTGAAGTCTATAGTTACTTGAGGATCTCTAATTTTGTAGGTGTAAACTGAATCAATGTTTGAAGGGTAATTAACACTGGCCTAATTTGCTTATTAACTTTTGCATTGATTGGGTAATTAGGCAATGTTGTATGAAAGTAATCCTGAAGAAGCAATAGTTTAATCGTTTTTAAGGATGAAATTATTTAAAACCGTTTTAGTAATTGAATTCGTTATAAACTAAGGATTATATATCTTGCTTGTGCTGATCGAAGTGAAATCTGTTTAAATTCCAACTTAAAAGTTAATCGTAGTTGATGCTTTATTAATGCAATCTTTATCTTGCAAATCATTCCTCATTATATATGCAACATTATAATTGTAACTCTATCCTGAGATTGTGTTGGTTTAAGAAATATATAGTACTTTTGTAGTGCTCTGAAATCTTACTTTTGACACAATGGTTGAGGATCCCATTGAAATTTCTTCAAATTAATGATTTTAGGTATTTGAAGGTTAAATTTGAACATTTCCAAAATATGTAGTTATTGATGATTGCCAAACAACATATAGTTTACTCTAACTAATATCCATATCAATGCATTATAAATACTCGGATCCAGTGGATTCAAAATAATATAGTTTCTTCATTTAAAAGGCGCCACTACTTTATTAAAAGAAACTTATACCAAAATCATTTTAACTTGGCCCTAAATTGATGGCACATGAAAATATGCTAGATTTACTTTGATACTCCACAGCTTCAATCGATATGATTGGCATATCTGCATTAATTGCAGCTTAAGGATTTTGATATTAAATAGCAGCATCTATAAGATTAGCATCGAAGTTAAACTAGATAAAAAATGGATTACTATTCAAACTCCCTCCAATAAAAGCATAGTACTTATCAATGTAATAATAATCGATGGATGTAACTTTGAATATTTAGGATAATGACCCGTAAATGTGGTAAAAACTTGTAGTAAAAGTTTGCAAAGAATTCGAGTAAATTGTCTTAAGAATACCCAATCACTCGGAGATTTCAAAAACAGCAAATACTTAATCATCATGAGTGATTATACTGTCAATGGGTTTGAAATCATAATGAATAGAATTAGTAGATAGATCCTCAACATATAATGATTTTAAAAGGTCTCCAGTAGCATAGTCAAAGATATAGACTCCGAATTAAGGATTTGAGGATAAAGCAAGAACATAAGAGCTAGCAAATGCTTAAAACCTACATTAAGCAAAGCTTATTGGTTATAAAATAGATGGACTACTTGAAGAAGGTCCTTATACTATCAATTACTTATGCCATATTACATATCCATCATCGATGTCTAGAACTATCAATATTGGAGCTTACTGATTTGTTACAATATCTGTGGATGAAGATGATCCACCTAATAGTATTCTTTCTGAGTTTGTATGAATACATTCAAAACTAGTGGCACCATAGTTACCCCCAAGAATTTATGGATACGACTCTTTTAATTATTCTTAAAAGCAATAGTTTCCTGTTTAAAAGAGCAATTATCTCCCAGACTCTCTGCGCATTTCAAAGAGGGAGTACTTGAAGAGATATAAATATAATAGGTATACCTGAAATTTAAAATGCATATTATTTTATTAGGTGCATCTTTATTATAAATTGGGATATTAGCACTTTCTCGATCAATGAATTTATAATAGTACTATTTTTATGCATTAATATTGTCCACTTTTCCCTCAAAGTAAAATCACGCGGGGTTTTGGGGTTTTGGGG